TACCCAATCCTCCACAGGGAATAGGAATGACGTTTCCTTTCAGCCACGCACCGAGTCTCATCCATCAGGAGAGAGCTGGATCTGTTTTCCCGGGGCCAGCCCCGTGCCGTCCGTCTCCCACCTGAGCGCGGCGGGAGCAGCGAGAGGAAGCGGCTGTGTTTTGGATCGGCCTCCCACGCGCAGCAGAGCAGCTTCTGCCTTGCTCAATCCTACGCTGCAACGCCTGCGGATGGTCCATTCGACGGAGGGGGGCCAGGCGTGCGAGACCCGGCCGCGCAGCCCGCACGCTGCCCGTGCCCGGCCGCAGAGCACCGAGCCGGGAGCGGGGCACCGCGGGGTGTCAAATGGCTGCTGCATCACCTTCCCCCGGGCGGCCTCTGCGTTTACCCCAAAAAAAAGAACAAAGCTGTCCTCAAAAGGACGCTTTCTGACGAACAGCTGACCAAAAATAAAAGTACAAACAGAACTTAATGGAGCGCGAAGCCTCATATGACAAGGAAAATTCCCGCTCCAATTCTGATCTCTGTTTACAACGTTGAAAGTGGGTCAAACTGGTCTGCGATGGAGGAATCTGTTTGGAAAATGATCTCTGAGAGGAAAAGCATCTAAGCGGCAGACAACTGCACTGCAATGCTTCCATGGGGATCCCTTCCCTGCCATCAAGGTAATTCAGCTTTACCACACAAGGCTGAAATCCTCTAACTTGAAATTATGGCTTTTCAATTCAAATTACTTAAATTCAGCAATTCCCTATCTTTTGGAGCAAGTCAACTAACCATGTTTCAGCACAGATCTTCATGCTTTAAAAAACTAAGACATGGCTGGGTTTGGACAGGGTTGGGAAGCTGTTTTGGTTTTGTTGATTTTGCTTTTTTTTTTTTTTTTTTTTTTTTTTTTTTAATAATTGCCCTCACTTTTGTTCATTTCCTGTGTTCAGGACAAGGTTATTGTGCAGTACCATCACACTGCCTAACTCGACTATTTTGTTTTGCCCCATCATGGTGTCTTTCAAAATGCAAAGGAATCATTATGACATTAAATAGGAGTCCAAAAATAAGCAGCAGTCTGTAACAACATTACTTTTCAAGGTATTTTCATTCTGACTTAGAGAAATCTAGTGAATTTATTATCTGTCCTTTCCCATTCAAGATAGAAAATTATTATAATGTAAACAAATTCAGCCAAAACTTCCTGGCAAGAAGCTTTGTAGGTTGTTCTGTGCAATGCTGGTGTACAAATACACAACAATCTAAAGAAAGAATATACTAACCAGCCTTGAAACCCACTGATTTGTTTTATCAACTTATGAAAATTCTGTTCTTTGACCTTCAAGTGCTTGATTCCTTTTATGGTCACACAATCTTTATTTATTAAAAATCTCCTAATACTTACTCTCAGGGTACCCAGAGGCCTTAAAAAGCACAAAATGCCAAAAAATGTATTACTACATTCCTGCATATATTCAATCTTCTTTCTAATCTGTTTTTGAAAGAAAGAAATACATTTATAGCATTTTTTAGAAAACATATTTAAAAGCACCTCAAGCTGATAAACATTCCTTCATATTTATATTTTGTATTTTTTTTAATATTCCCTTTGGTTTTAGTTACTATTTTGTATTTACAGAAAAATGAGCTCTGTGAGTCTTCAGAGTATCTGCTAATGTCAGATATTTATAGAAAGTTACAATCTCAAAGGATTTTAAGAACTGAATCAGTCTACATCTGTGGGACATCCTTGTATCTTTTAAACTTCAACTGGAGATTTTCAGGGCAAATAAGGAATAAAAAGGCTCATATTTTAAATGCACTTAGTATAAAAAAAGTAACAAAGAGTAGTAGCCAAAAAGACTTGGAAAAAATACCATGGCACAATAAAGGATGTAAATTTTATGTCTGTTTACTAACAAACAAAGAAAGAGAATAAAGTAACTCGGAAACAGCTCAGACATAACATAGATGAGAACGTGAAAGAGGTATGGGGTGTAAATTCTGAGTCTACAGAAAAAGAATATTTACAAAGTTAGGTGGAAAAAAGTTTGTGAGTCTCTCAGGCGCATCTATGAATTAGAAAGTGCTTTGTGAATGGCCCAGGGAAATAAGAACAGTTACCCTTACAAAACCAATTTTTGTAAATGACTATTTCTCCCCAGACTTATAACTAAGTCAGAGCCAGAGGAAACACACAGGGGCAGCGGGGACGCCAGGGCGGCCGCCTGTCCCAGCGCCCTGCTGGACGCGGGGCGAGCTCGGGGAGGTGGGAGGGAGGCTGCGAGGCGCCAGCCTTGCTCCGGCCCTGGCTGCCCGCCCAGCCCAGCCCGCACCGCTCCCGCTGCGAGCCCCGCGCTGCTGCACCGCCAGGGCCACCGCCAGGGCCGCTGGCAGCTCCTCGCACCCAGGCTGGTCTCGTTGTTGGCCGTGGGGAGCTGCGCGCCTCTGTAAACCCTCCTCTGCATATGGGTGCTGGGAAGGGACCCCCACCCGAACATGAGAGGTGTTTGGTCCTCGGAGATAAAAAGAGAGCCTCTCATTCAACAACCGAGCTGTCCCAAACTATACTGTAACAGAGAAGCACATTAAGTTTGGAAACACTCTTTTAACACTTATTTCTGTTCTGCTTTTTTGTTTATTGGTAGAGCCTCTTTCCCAGATTGAGTGCAGGACCCCACTTTACTAGGCTTGACATCTGCACAAAGGGGAAAGACCTTTTCTGCCCTAAAGCTAAGAACCCAAAGTCCAAGAGGTGCTCAGGGAGCGTGCCTGGAGCAGCAGTGTGAGAAAGGCTGCCAAAACCCTCCTTGGGCTTGGTGCCACCAGGCAAAAGAGCCTGGGGACAAGGAGGCATGGGCGGAGCCTGTCAGAGACAGTGGATAGTCAGGTGGAGGAGCCTCCACTTATCCCAAGCCCCACGCCACGCGTGTCACCCCGGATTGCAGAACAGGACATTTACCGAATGGCAGAACAGGACATTTACCTGCTCTGGAGCCCCACTTCGCAGCCCAGTGCGCTGGACAACAGTTTGCACCTCATGTACCACCTCCACAAAGCTGCAGCCCCTTGGGAGCAGAGACATCCTCTTCAGCTCTACTGCCTGAACAGCCACTTACGGGGAAATGGTGGCGGGGAAAGCTGACAGCAGCAGTGGCAGGGGCTTCAGCTGTCCCAGCTAGTCCCACTGGCCACCATGGTGATCCCTGAGTTAGCCACGCTCACACAGCCACCAACACACTGTGCCCGCTCTCATCACTTCCATCACCCGCCAATAGCACTGCGGGCTCCTGTGAGGAGTCCACATCCCCGTACCACCTCCTGATGTACCTGTGAATCTGGGAGGCAGGAATGATCTACTAAATCTGCAGAACGGGACTCCAGTCCAGAGCCAAGACCTTCACGTACAACACAAAACAATAACAACTCCAGTGGGTGGCAAACTGAAGAATCTGCTAAACTCAAGGCACTGGTTACAACTTTGTGGGTCTGAGAACTACTCGAAACAGAGCCACAAAAGGTAACAAAAGCTCACTGTCAGCAGGCTCCAACGAGTGGAATGCTCTGCCAACTGTTCTGCAAAAGGTGAAAAATACGGTGTTATTTTCAAGCAAGGAGTCATCCCATCATCAGAGCAGATGACCTTCATCAATCTTCACTACCTTAGACTGGCACACGAGGAAAATTTTTTTGTCAATATGTGGATCTCTGTGTGCACTACGTTACTGAACATCAGGTGAGACAACAGTACTGTCCCAAGTTTTGAGGCACAACCAAACCCCTTTCCCTCTGGCTGAGCTACGACGGGAATTATGTACGCACACAGAACACATAAAAGTTACCTGACAGAGTACATTTTCTTCAAACACAACGCAAACTAGAGCTGTAACGCGTTTGCTCAGCACCAAAAAAAAAAAAAATAAAAAAAATTCCCACAGGCTACCGAACAGTAAAAGACCCAAATAACGCTAAAGCAGCCTTGAAGAAAACTAAGCATCAAACGCTAAAATGTCCTTCAGAGGCTGGAAGGGATGAGCTGAATCACCTCCCAAGCGAGGTGAGGCACCGGCTGCTCCAGCAGTTGCGTAGATAAGTTTGCAGCCGGCTCGTGGCACGCAAGGAAGGGTCCATAGTCCACCCTCCAAAATTAATGCATCTCCCATGCACAGCCGGGACTCCGCTTTGGGGAGCGGAGCGTCCGTACAACACTTGCAGAACAGTGGCTCCTCACGGGGGTTCCCCTCCAGCCCGGCTGCCGCTCCCCGCTCTCCCCCGGCCCCCGGCGGGGACCGGCCCCGCTCCGCCCCCCGCGCCCCTCACCGCCCTCCCCGAGCCCGGGGTCCCCCTCCGGAGCGGGGGGCGGCGCGGGCGGGGCCGGGGGCGGCGGGCCCGGCCGCACAAAGGGCGGCGGGGCGGGGGCCGCCGGGCACTTACTTTGTCTATGGTGCCCGGGAGCAGGCGGTCGAGCAGGCGGCACAGCACCACGCCATCCTTCAGGGAGGACTGAAGGAAGCCCTCGGGGTCGGAGATGGTCTTTTTGGGCGACTCCAGCACGCCCAGGGCGATCAGCCACGTAACGGTCTGCTCCGCCGAATTCATGGCGATGGCGGCGGCGGGCGGGGGTCGCGGCGCCCCGCGCCTCGCGTGGGTTTTGTGTCTCCCCCGGCGGGGGCTTCAGGCGGAGGCCGGCGGCACCGCCCCCATGTGAATGCAGATGACGACGCCCCGGCCCCGCCGCTACAGACACATGCAGCTGCAGTGCCGCCTCCTCCCCGCCCCCCCGCCGCCGCCGCCGCCGCCGCCGCCGCCGCCGCCGCCGCCCCATGACATCACTGGCAGCGGCGGCGGCGGGGGCCGCGCGCCCGCGGAGACCCGCGCACCGCTCCGCGCCCGCTGCGCGCGCCGAGGGGCGGCCGGGCGCGCCCCCTAGCGGGCGGCCGGCGCCTCCGCGGGCGCGCAGCGGGGCGGGAGCGGGAGCGGGAGCCGCCGGGCACCGCCGGGCGCGGGGAAAAGTTTCGGGATCCCCCGGCCCCTCGTCTCCTCCTCGGACGGCGCCGTCGCGCAGAGAACGAACCCACTCAAGCCTTCGGCGCCAGGCTCCGGGAGACTGGTTTTGGACCATCTACCTCTGGGAGCACCGGTAGCGGGTGCCGGCCCGAGCGGCCGCAGTAACGCGATCTCTGCCTTTGCCCGTCGTTCCCTTGCAAGGAAACCCGTTCGGCCCAGCGGCCGGGTCGCGGGCTCGCCCCGGTGCGCGCCATCCCCGCCGTGCGCCTGCTGGGATGCTCCATCCCCGAGCGCCTCCCGCCAGCTTCCACCCCGATGGTCTGCGGCACCGGTGGGAAGCGAGCGTAAATACTCTACACAGAAGGACTGTGAAGGCTAACCTGAAACAGAGCCTTCTTGTGCCTTTTATTCTGACGAAAACCATTCCTCAAGGATTTGCTTGGACAGGACGCTATGAGCAATCAGTATTTTCTTTTTTGTTAGGAGCTGGCTGGTGTGGGCTCCCAGGGTCCCTCTGTTGCCATCAGCCTGCCACACGCCAGGAGAGGCGATACCACCACAGCCCCTGCTTTCCCTTCTCGCCCCATCTGACGCCCTCGAGGGGCAAAACGCCCACTCCAAAAGGCAGAGGCAGAGGGAACAATGCCAACCCAAACTCATCTCTGCTGTTCTGCTTCCAGCCCGGCGTACTGCATCCACCGCCATCACAGTCCCTGAGCAGCAGCTCTGGTAGGTTCTTTTGACCCAGAATCTCCTACCAAACCACCAGCCAGCCCAGAAAGACAGAGGTGCATTTCAATTTGGTACAAGATAATCTAATTTCAACACTCAATCTCCTCCTAACCCATAATAGGTGCGGATTTTATTAAATTCTTAAATTTCACACTTCAAGTAGATACCTCTTCCAAAATTTGTTTTTCATTTTGCTCCTTGTTTTTTGGTCGAGGCGAGAGCAACAGACTGGCCTCTGTCAGTATTAATGCCCACCTGGACTCAAGCAGGATGGGATAAACAAGTACAATGCACACAGCAATGGTCAGGCGTTCGTTACATCAGCATCCCCAGCAGGGCTTCCCCAGTAGCTTCCCGAGCAAGATGAGCAGCAAGTGGGGACATCCCTGGCACTGGCCCATGATAGAAAACTATGGGCATGAGTTGATGAAACTGTTTATATGAGGGATGTGATGGGTACATGAACAAGGTGAAAAGTGCATGGCTGATTACAGCAGAGAACATGATACATGACATGTTGTGGGAAAACCCATCCAAAGACAATGGAAGTAACCATATATTACAACACAGAATAGTGATCTTAACAAAGCATAAAGGGTTTCATGATAAGCAATATCTGGGTTATCACTGACATTCATCACCTATCTCCTCATCATTTTTCTGCACTTAACTGTACTCTCTTCCATATCTACTTTGAACAACAGCTTCCGATCCAATGATTTGTCAGCTATGAAGAACACAAACATGGTGATTCTTTGCCATTGGAAAGCCATGTGGATAGATTGCTTGGAGACTTCTAAAAGAAGCTTGACACGGGTCAGGAAACCATTTCCAGATCTTTAAGGGAAAAAAATTAGAGTGCCCAAAAGATTTAGAAGCATGCCATTCCCTCCCTATATTCCTTTCTTGTCAGACTTTCCCCTACAAGGTATTTACTGCAAAGAACCTGAACTCTCTGCACAGCTCCCTTGTTTTATTCTTTTCTCCTGCATGTCCCAGTATTGTCCATCTGAACGACAACCTTGTAGGACACACAGATATTTTGCATGTGCTGTCTAACGAGTGGAGCCCATGCCATGGTGGGAGTTTTGAAATAACACAAACAAGGATACATACAATTATCGCAAGTCTGCACTCCTTCTTCCTCTTTGTTTCACAATTAAAGATGTTCTGATTCTCTTATGTCCTGATTCTGATCCCACTGTTGCTTCTAAATCATAAGCTCATGACATCTTTATTCAAACATCCATTTTGATAGTATTTAAATAGTATAAATTCTTTCTGAAAGATGCGATAGATTTTAACAACATTTTTTTAGGGGATGAGGGATGATTTTAACTACTTTTTTCCTGCAAAATATTTTAAATTTATGCAAAGCTGAAAAAGTAATTTTGGAACTGACTTTTATAAACAAAGGATATATATATGAAGCATGTAGGTTCAGGTAACTGCCAGACCTCAAATCTGTTTACACAAGCAAAAAGATTCTTATATTTGGGGAATTTGGCGGGGGAGGGGGGAAGGGGGAGGTGTCTCAGTTTAATACTATCTGGACCTCTTTTGAAGAAGAAAAAAAATCAATGTTCTCTGAAATGCATCAGGCAGCTTTAGCAGAGATCTAGTAGATGTAACAGCACATAATTTTGTATACATAAAGGTTAAGTGGTTGACAATTTATTTGGTCTTTTCCAAGCTTTTGCCATATTCTCATGAGAAGTTACTAAGGAAACCAGGTATGCATGTGGTAGAAAGTAAATTTCTGTCACGGATTAGTGACTGGTTGAAAGACAAAACAGCAGGAATAAATTTCCAGTTTGCAATTTGACCAAAAAGTTATCAGCAGAGATATTTTCTCTGTTGTGCAGTATGAATTAACTGAAAGTCTCCAAAAGACAATTATACTTCTGTGGATTTTATTTATTCTTTTAGCCTGAGCAATTGGTTTTGGAGGACAAAGAACAGGAGAGGAAGGAAAGAGCAGGTAAAGAAAGCTACTCTTTCATTTTAGCCTTCCATTTGCCGTTTTCCATTTTCAGCTGTTAATACCTTGTCTACCTGTCCCTGGGCAGCAATGAGATGCTTTGACACAAGTCTCTGTTTTCCCTGTGCCAAGCCAAGGTCAGGATTTCAGTGTGGAGGTAACTAATTAATTATCAGTCCGGCTTGAACAGAAATTGCCTTGACAATCTGTAATTAGCTATATAGGGGTCATACTGGATCAATCGCTGTGCTGGGATTCCCATGCTATATGTAATTATCTCTGTAGTTTTAGCCTAGGGAGGTTTACATCTCTCTGCAGTGAAAGCCTTACCCCAACAAAGCACACTTCTGTGTTAAACTCAGAGATGTATTTCCATGCTATTTAAACCTACCTTTGAAAAGAATCTTGAGGCTTGTAGAGGAGCTAGTCTTTTGCAGTTCCTGAAACCAGCTATCACAAGTTCAATATCACCAGCTCTCTCTGCTGTTGATTGACTACCTGTCAGCTGAAGGTGTCAGTTAAAACCCATACACCAAAGATTGTGTCGGTGAATTTGGGAAGGCAGATCAATGAGCTGTGTGGTGCTGGCACAAGCCTCACTTAATAAAAAAATTAAAAAAAAAAAAAAAAAAAAAAGAAAACCACAACAGAGAGCAAATTATTTCATTATCTTCCTAGTTGTTAAGTATTTTAATAGACAGGTGAAAAGTTTTTCTGTCCTGAGAGGCCTGTCAATCAAGCATAAATAAATGAGTACCATACAGAGAGCTAAAGTGCTGATGCAGAAAACACAAATCCAGGACTCTGAGAGCAGGTGTTTGACCAAGGGTGACAGCAGCATGATGCTCGGGACTGCAGTACTTGGCTCCAGGGCAGCACCATGAGTGCCCAGGCAGACTTGGGCCTCTCAAACAGGGATCACAGAATACAGTGTGATGAATACACTGGCGTCCAAGCCATCCCCAAAAACAACAAAAACAAACAAACAAACAAATAAACAAAGCCAAAGAAAAAAGGTGCTTTTAAACAACGTTCTTGCATGGAGGCTGCAGGCACCTGTTACAGAATTTGAGGGAAAACAGGGATGCTTAGCACCATGAGAGCTTTTAGCTTGGAGAGAGATGCCCCAGAGATCAAGTCCCTCATTTATTTCCCCTGATCACAGATCTCAAATCTCTCAAGGATCTAGTGCACTTGCTCTACTGCCTCCTGTGTAACTGCCTTTAGGGCCTACCCAAAAGCAGAAATACTGTCACCACGTCTTTACTTTAAACCAATGCAGCCTATTGACACTATGCTCTGATTGAGCTCAGAGTCCAGTCTGCTGCCATGTCTTTGGCTATCTTAATCTTAGTAGTCAAATTTTTTTGTTAGCATTTGCTTTGATGAGGCAATCCTGTGTTACAAGCTTTATCACAGTCACTCGTGCTTTTGTAGCTTTTACCCTGGCTATGATCTTTAGGTGGAAATATACAGAGAGTCCTCCGGCAAGTCTGCAGTAGCCCAAAATGTAGCTCTGCTTCTGCACTCCCGAGAGCATCAATTCAAGAGCTGCCTTTGTCTTCTAAGTGCAGTTCAGGATAATGGCATTGATCTGCTACATTCTTTATACTTTCAGAAACCAGTAAATGTCTCTGCTTTTGGCAGAGATGAATGTAAAATGAAAGTCCTTGCCACTAAGGGCTTAGTCTAAATCACAGATGATGGAAAATGAAGGTTAGACCTGAGAAAGGAAGAAATGAAGCAGGACAATAGGCTGCAGCGCAGTCACATTTAGGCTCCCTCCACAGGAAGAAATCTATTTTAATTGCCATTTCAAAAGTTTTATTCACATTTAATAAGGTCTGAGAAAGAAATGAAGGACAAAAATTTAACAGTGAGAAATCAAAATTACTAAAATGAATGAAAATGTTTTGAATTTAAACAAGCGAAAAAGGGAGCTGAGATTCTTGGATGCTTTTAAACAAATGTATAATGAATGAACAGTATTTTCCAAATTCTGTCCCGTATTTTGTTAGCATGAGTTGGAGTAAGTACTTTTTTAACACTGCAAGCAAATCAGTGGCTCCCCTGTGGCAGGACTTGGGGGAGGGGAGTTGGCAGTGAGCTCCACCATTTCAGGCCAGACGCAGGGAAAGCTGTGTCCTGCAAGCTGAAATATCAGATGCAGATCCCCAGCTGGTGGAAGATGTTGCAGCTCCCTTAAAGTTGATGAATCTATGACATTTTTAAACAGCGAGCTCAACAATTTGCAAAGGGCTCTGATCACAGCGGACTGACATGACCATCCATAAAAAAGGCAAATTGGATTCTAAACTGTATCTGATGAAGAATTTTGGGCAGATTAAATCTAAGAGTGTTACTGAGTCATCAGTAGAAATTCGTTTGGATTAAAGCACAGAAACTTGGACGCTCGTTCTCTGGAAAAACTAAATCACACAGCAATAGAGTCATTAGAAGACTGACAGTGATCTTATGGGAACTCAGCTTGTTTGCCCTGGTGAAACAAAGCCTGAGAAAGGGTACAGGAGGGCTGTCTATAAATACACCAGTGGGTAAATATCACAGATAGGCATGCAGCTATTTAAGTTTCAGGACAATTCTAGCACAAGAGCAAATGGATATAAACAGGTTCTGAATGAATTTGTGCTGGAAATCAGAAAAATATACTTGCTTCTTCTAGCTATAAAAATTTTCAATGCTAATAAGAGCGAGCAGGGCAAATAAGCCAGCTGTTTTTAGAGGGGTGTATAATGTGCAGTTTAAAGTGATTCCATGGCTTGACTGCAGCAGCAGGGACTAGACATCGCCCAGACTCTGTTCCCCAGCAGACTGCACGTTACGCCTACCAGAATCAAAGTGGGCCAAGCATTCATCATGATGGATAAGGTTTAGTGAGAGAAGTCAAATAAGCAGAACCACAGTCAAAGCCATTCTCTCACTCTGAGCGAATGCTAATGACACTTGTTCATTGCCGTTTGGAAAATGCATTTAGTAAACTAGGTTAATGGAAGAAAACCCTCTTCTCTGAGATACAGGCTCACAGAGTTGGAAGCTACATAGTGACCCTTGGATTTTATTTTAGAGCCCTTTTGTATTCAGATTTTTCAATTCTATAAAAGTTTACTATAGATCAATGCCTCTTTTGTTTTTAAACACACAGCAATTACCAGAATGAAGTAGCATCCTGCTACTCCACTGCCTGTTCTCCACTTTACTCCAAAATCCTCAGCAGTAGACAGACAGTTTTGAAGACATTTTTGAAATGTGGGCAGATAGAAGGGCAGCACAGGGAGTGGGACAGAGGAGGAGAACAAAGGTGATAGAAGCTTTTAGTCAATGCATTGAGCAGGAGAATCAAAATATACAGCTCTTCCATCAGTGTATTTATGACAAGATTTCCACACTTTGCTCAGATAAAGAGAAGGAGAACTGATATTGATGGGATTGGTTGCCTGGTGAGGTTTGCAAGAGGATTCTTATTCACAGTTTTGTGTAAGCGGTCAACATTTGAAACATTTGATAAAACTGTAAAACTGGATTAGCCCCCATTCAGGGGAAATTGCTAAATTGCCGTCTCCCTGTAGGACAGCAAGTGTCACCATCTGCTGGGTCACCCTTGTGCTTTTCTGGGAGTGGGGGTTGCACTTGCTGTCACTGACAGCAGGACATGCTCAGGGGAGGGGTTTGGGAACCCCTGGCACCCAGCCAGAGGCCCAGCCTGGCACACAGCAGAGCTCGGCAGAACATCTATGGCTCGATCAGGCTTTCAAGAGCTCTCTGGACTACTTTTGCAAGAGACCACGTGAGCTGATGGAGCTGTTATTTTTAGTCCTAGAGTACTGTTTGCTGACTATGGCTGTTTCCTATGCAGTAGGTACTGAAGGGCCAAGGCACTAGAAACCTTCTAATAATTGACCAATAAATGTTACAGTCAATAAATGTCATCCTCTGCCTTACAGTTAGCATCTGCACTGTTCCAGTCTGTATTTATGTTATGTTACGTTATGTTATGTTATATGTTACATGTTATTATATTAATTTGGCTTACAGACATTTGTATCATCACCAGTTTACTTCAGATTTATTTGTGACACTCTCAATCAGTAGTAAGATGATCTTCTAGTGCTCCTTTTGAAAGAAACCAAATACTAGGTCCTGCTGGAGGCTTACCTAGCTTATGGGAGCCTTACCT